GCCACCAATGAAATTTGTTGTTTTAGGATGGTTGACGAAAAAATAAATTTTGATAATTTTTGTTATATATATAACTTGTTATTATTTGTTATATATATAAAATTAATTTTTACATATATATTCGATTAACAGGTATTATTACAAAATTTTTATTAAAAGTAAGAATTATAGAATGGCGTATTTTGTCTTCATTTTTCTAACTAATACCAGGAGGTGAGATGATATATCTTCTAATCGTTAGTTTTTCAAAAGTAATTGGTCACCTGGGAAACCTCCCTTGTCAGTTAAATATTTCTTTGGTTGCAAAGAAGAACACCGCATGTCACATATTTTGACATAAGCTTATCGAATTTGGTTTTATAATATTCTCCTGATAAATATTTAAATCATATATTCTACAGATCAATTATTGTATAAACTTAAATTTTATGAAATTGTAACATGCTGCGATTTTGCTTATAGCCACAGATTTATTCGCAACAATTCGAATAATGCCCAACTCTGGTTTTTGTTGTCCCACCCTGTATATAGTAAATAATAACAGTAAAAATCAAAATATACTGCTCAAGGAAATTATATCATAGACAAATTTTGAATAAAAATTGGCCAACTTCGACCGATGATAACACTGCGAAAAATTATCGTACGACGATGACTATTCTTTTAAATGATAGCGTGGCACCTCTACTTTAATATGCTGTTCCTCAATTTTAAATGAAACGCACCCTCACCACTGTAACCCTTTAAATGTGAAGCCATGTTTGTCACATTGAAAGTTGTCAAAATCGATGAACAGTATCTTAAAGTGGAGGTTTCAGGATTTAACACTAAATTACAGAACACTAAATACAGCTCTTTTTTTTAGTTTACAAACGTAACAATAATTCATTTATTCTGATTTTTAACGAGTGATATTACAATATTTGCTGCAAGTAAAACATATATTAAATAAATAACTCGTAAATGTATTTTTACTACCTGAATTATTGTAAATTGAAAAATTAACAGGGTTGGGGAAAAATAGACATTAAAATAGATATTATTGTTATTATTATTATTATTATTAATTAAAATAGATATTAAGTGGACTATAAATATTTTTATGTTCTCATGAAATACAGAATTTGGCCAATAAATTTTTTTTTAAATAATAGTTACACATTGGCATATGTAGCATTTCAAATATATTTAACTACGTAACATCCATATGTGCCTGCTATTCCAAAAAATAGTTTATTTGTCAAATTCTGTATTACATGAAAACATAGAAATATTTATGGATTATTTACTATTTCCGAAATCGTTTTTCCCAAGCTCTGAAAATTAGTGATCCGTCATTTTGTCAGGTTCCGTAAACTTACCGTTAATATTCTAAAAATCATCATCCTACGATGATGTTTCGCGGAGTTATCAGCGGTCAGAGTTGGTCAATTTTTATCAAAAATTTTTCCATACTATAATTTTGTCGATGCAGTGAAAAAAATATCCGAAAATAGAAAAGTGTTTTCGGCGGGAGTTTTCGTTGCAGCGAATCTGTCTACTTACAGGGGTGAGTGGCGGTGAAGGGGTACTCAAGGGTTGGTGGTAATCGCGGCGTTGGAAGACCTGGGGGGCAGTGGTAGCAGAACATTCCGCCAGCCCTGGCCACCGTGCCGCCCCCCGGCCCCCCACCACCACCGACTCCAGGCACCTGAGGCTGACTCGTCTGTTGCTGTTGTTGTTGCTGCTGTTGCTGTTGCTGGTGGTGCGGGTGGTGGTGGTTATTGTTCGGTTGATGGGCGTGAACAGATCCAATCTGCAACCACAAGTTTCTGACATTGTGAATCATGCTCGTTTCTGGGAAAGTTCATTAAAGACTATTGCAACGCCGCGCACAACCGTTCCCATGGCGATTTCTGACAATAAGTGAGTCAGAGACAGATGACAGAATTTAATAATTGATTATAATTGTTCGCGCAATAGAACTTTTATTAGAATGAGTGGCGCGTACTTCGTTTTGCGTATCTATTTCTCATCGCTTGAGCTTATTAGGTGGCGGACGGCGACTGGCTCCAATTGAATGTCCAATCGGATAGTTCAAGATTTTAATTAAAAATTCGTATGCTGGCCGGGGTGCTGTAGTTATTTCGATGTACAAGTTAGTTCTAGGGAAGCATAACAATTCATTTTCGAATATGTGCTGGAGTAATGTTTGAAATTTCATTTATGTGAGTTCACGCGGAGTACAGTAATTTCTTCCTAATTCGCGCTCAGATTGCGCACAAAATTCGACAATTTGGGAAGGAAGATACGATTATTCGAGCCTTGCGGCTCGTTTTTATAGTTACCAATTGTCAACAATTATAAAAACGAGACACAAGGTACGAATAATCGTATCTTCTCTTCCCAAATTGTCCATTTTTATGCGCAATCTGAGCACGAATTGGGGAGAAATTACTATACATTGGAAATGATATTCAAAAATTGTGATCAGTGTACAGTGTATAAATGATTGGCTGAGTATATTAACTGTCACTATCTTTTTGTTATGTTAGTCTAGGAGCACATTGCAACATTCAAAATGTTTCTTTTTATAAGCTCTAGGCCATATCCGGCCCATAAGCAGAATATATGTATACTAATGTAAGACTATCATTCTCACAGTAGAAACAGACAGGTGTGGTCAGACGTTGTGCTTCGATACAATTCAATATTTACTTATTTAGATTTATGAAATCTACGTCTACGTCTTTGAAACTTTTGTATCAAGAACAGTTTATTAACTAATTTAATTTAGTGTTATTATTAGTTTTATTTAGTAATGATAAGCATTTTTATTGAGAAAATCGAAGAACTAATTCCAAAAATAATGCAAAAAAATTCGCGTAATTGATTGTAGTTTAGAATCCAACCCCAATCCCAAATTTAATTAATTCTTAGTCAATGTAAATTTTGTTAATAATTAGTTAATGTTGATGCGAAAGATCACGTTTTAAGAAGAAAAGCGTGTTGACAGTATCTTTTAAAAGCTTATTATGAACAGCGATTTTTTGGTCTATTATTATTTTTACTAATGGTTAATTAAATTTTCATTTAAATTCCAACTTGTTAACTACTAATTTAAATAATTTGCAGTTTATGCTATGTGTGTGTGACGGAAAATTGATACGTAAGGATTTGAATGGATGTGACCATATTCGAAAAACACCGTATGATAAGTGACCCGAAAGTGAACCAAGTTGATACTCTACTTATTTGAGCGGCATGCGAAAGCAAAAAGAAGAAATTGGCGTTATAAAATCGCAAATCTAATGTACAATCATTTCTTTAATGTATAATCATTTCTTTCGTAACGTACACAAGATATTATTCGACTTAATGATTTCACTTCATATATGTCTAAAAAATAGACATTCTCAAATATTTTTGATTATCAAACTAAAAAATTATATTATCACATAGAAATAAAAATATTTAAATTATTATTCTTAAAACTTTTTATTTGTGATGTATTCTTCTTTAATAATATTATAAAGGGTGTCTCATCATCTCTGTTACAAGTCGAAATCTCTGTTATTTTTTATGCTACATAAAATATCAAAAGAAGAAATTGTTTGATTGAAACAGATATACACCTCTATCATGGTTGAAACTATTTTATCCTCAAGATGATTTCTTCAAAGTTTCAAGAGTTATGTAACTACATATTAATATTATATTAATATTATAATATAGCTGAAGTTACAAGGCGAAACCAATGACGTCTCATTGTTAATACGAAGAAATAAGAAATGTTTCGAATTCTCACCTTGAATTGTATGAAGGCTAAGGTGAATTCTAAGACGAGATTATGAAGTCGATATGCACCAAACCGATCTTACAGTGTCAAATTACTGTACATTAAGTAACTACTGTAATTGTATCGTTGCTAATGAGCCTCAGGTTGTTGCAACTTTAATAATAAAAAAAGAAAATAAATTGTGTGGAAAATATTATTGCAAATTAATGTGTAAATATTAATCAAACAAGGTGTGCGTGTGTGTGTGCATCAGCTTGTTTTAGAAAATATTGGGGAGTACTAGAGCTGTGAATATCAATAAAATAAAGGTCTAAATGCTAAATGGTGAGTGTGAAAGAACGTTTCGAGAAAACGTAGCTTGAAATGGGAGAAGACGAAGATGGTTGAACGTGAATGAATGACCGATTGTATGTCACGTGTTGAGAGACATTATATTTTCGACCAATTAAAAATTTACTATAGTTAGTGTCATTCGAATTACGTTATTATAAATCCAACGGGTCACGACACACATACATATTTACGACACCAGTGCATTAAAAAGAAAAAAAAACAGTCAAAGAAGTCCAGACCCCCAAAACCCTCCCAGTCGCGTACACGAGACTCGCCAAGACCCGCACACCTCGAGTCTCCTCGTGCTGGCGAGCATCCGAAGACCCAAGTCGTAGGATCCAGGTCTCTGAAACGATTTCTCGTAGCGTCCAAATCACCCCCGAAATTCCATTTACTCCCAGCGAAAGGAGGCTGCAACGTGCATACGTAAAGCGAAACCCGAGCCGGTAATCCGTCGTCGTGGAAGGTCAGGCAGCCGAAACGAAAATTGGCTGAATTTCGTTAAGTTTGGCAGCAATTACTTTTGATACCCGACACGCGGCCGTAATTGCGTTGGGCCAAGCAGAAGCAGTAGAGGGGTAATAATTCGCTAATATCAATTTCAAATTTCAATTAGTATCATCTCGACGTCTGCTCCGCCCCCTCGAGCTTCTCTCGCGCCCCTCGTCCCGCGTCCCTCGGTCACCCGCGCCACCTCGTTCTCTCTCTCTCTCTCTCTCTCTCTCTCTCTCTCTCTCTCTGACTCTCCCGTGGAACAGCCATCCCCGTCGCCGCTCTCCCTTGGTTCCCGTGGACCCCAGAAGAGCACGGCATGATCTAAAATTCAATTTGTCCCTTGTAGCGGAGCCGCAAAGGGTGAAGGAGAAAAGGAGACGGGCGGAAGACCAAGAAGAGAGAGGAAGAGAGAGAGATAGAGAGAGAGAGAGAGAGAGAGCGAGAGAGGAGTAGGAGAAGGTGGTGGATGAGGATGGGGTGCGTCAGAGGGGATAGAACGCCAAGCAACGCGGGCAGCGGGGGTGGGCATAGTTAGAATACACCGAGTTTAAAGCCACTCGCGTGCACGCCGTTACGTAACCAGAGATACGGCCCTGTAGGCACGCGCATGCGCGACACGCCGACCCATTATAAATTGATAACTACGCCGTTTATTAAGTTCCACGACCGATGGCTGCTTAGGCAAAGAGCCCTCCACGCTCCTCGCCGATACACGCATTATTTATTTACGGGAGTTTACAATCCCTCTAATGGAGATCGGCGTAATCGGCCGCCCATACGGCTGCTACTCTCGCTCGCCCGTCCCCGTTTCACCCGTTTCACCCGCTCCGTAATCGTGAACGGCTACCCTTCGCGATGCCACCCCTGTCGTGCTCTCTCTCTCTCTCTCTCTCTCTCTCTCTCTTAATCGTGTTTCACCCGCTTTCGAAAATCCGCGCGTACCAACCAGCCCGCTCGCGGAAATCGGAAGTAGACCGGGCTCACCGCCGGCTCTCGATTATCACGGGGTAGCGGCTGCGAGCTGATTTCGAAAGGGATGCATCGGAACATCGGATTCGTGCACGCGGCTCTTGTCTCCCCGAAGTTTATTTATAAAGGTCGCGTCGACGTCGACGCCATTAGCGACCACCTTTGCTTTCGTTACATCCTAGTCCACTGTTGTGTGGACACCGTTGCCAACTCCATGGATTTTCAACGTTATCTCCACGGAGCTACGGTATTTCAGCTGAAATCTATAGGATTTTGTTCTGCGTGTATGTCAAATAATAATGAACTATTTATTATTTGCACGGCATATGTAATAATCTTTAGTTTCACTTTTGAAACGTCCGCTCTTTTCTACGGTTTACTACGCGCTCCGCGCTTGTTAATCGCCTCTGATCGTTCCTGCGTTCCTTTGTCTATTTCAAAAAATATCACATCGGCCAAGGTATCCGTTAATGCCAGGAGTGGCCAAAGCGCCACTATTCCTAGTCTGATATTCTGTCTGATATTATCTACAGTCCAAAAATTATGGTACTTCCGCGAAAATTAGAGATTACTGAGGTCATTCGAAGCAACCTTTTCCTTTACACAAATTTTCTCCGAGGCATCGTTAACGAATTATTAACGAAAAACACTGACCAATGAGAGGCGAGCTCGGATGACGCGAGGCGGCCCAGCCAACGAGCGCACGAAGCCCAGTGACGCTCATTGACTCGGCCACCTAGTGCCAGCGCGAGTTCGCCCCTCATTCGTCATCATTTTTCGTTAATAACTCGTAAACGATGCCTCGGAGAAAATTTTTGTAAAGGAAAAAGTTACTTCAAATCACCTCAGGAACTCCTCATTTCCCGGAAATACCATAATTTTGAGACACCCTGTATATTTATTTTAAATTTAAACTTATTTTTGGCTTTAAAATACTACTTTTCTTGCGATCACTTAACACATACGATGTTGCTAGAACGCCGCTTATAATTTTAAAAAACAGGTCGCTCGTAGTGATCAAAAGTTAATGTCGACAGATGCCAACATATGCATGTACAAGAATTGAGGTATTACTTTGTAACGAAGAACTGCTATTTATTAACAATAAATATAGGTGTATAACGCTGTTAAAAACGGGGCGTACGCCACGA